TCAACGCCCCACTGACGTAACACCGACCAATCAACGCCCCACTGATGTAATACCAACCAATCAACGCCCCACGTAACACCGACCAATCAACGCCCCACTTACCTAACATCAACCAATCAACGCCTCACTTACATAACACCGACCAATCAACGCCTCACATCATTATCATCAACCATTCAGTGCCACACTTACATACCATCACCTTACAACACACTGCTTCCCTTTATAAAGCGCCGACCAATCAACGCCTCGCTTACAGACCGCCGACTAATCAAGAGCCTGCTTACATCCCTCCTCGGGCATCGGAGTAAACAAGGTGCAGTACCAGACGTCAAAGGATTCTATATTTAGAGGCGCTGATTGAGTGAAGTTTATACACTTGTTCCTCACAGTTTAGTCCCAGTTAAGTAACACCTCCACCCACCATGCATCTACACCCACCTTGCATCTACACCCACCTTGCATCTACACCCACACCCACCCTGCACCCACCCCTCCACCCACCCTACATCTACACCCACACCCACCCTGCATCTACACCCACACCCACCCTGCATCTACACCCACACCCACCCCTGCATCTACACCCACACACCCACCCTGCACCCACCCCTCCACCCAATCTCTGCATCTACACCCACACCCACCCTGCATCTACACCCACACCCACCCCTGCATCTACACCCACACCCACCCCTGCATCTACACCCACACCACCCTGCACCCACCCCTCCACCCACCCTACATCTACACCTCATCAAAGCACACTATCCTCCCCCTCCTTATTCCTCTTAACCCTTCCCCACTCTCCCCTCCTCCCCACTCTCCCCTCCTTCCCACCTCCACACAGATCCCTCCTCCTGCTCCTCCCCACTCTCCACTCTCCCCTTCTCCACACAGACTCCTCCCCACTCTCCCCACCTCCTCCTCTCCCCGTCTTCAACATAAGCATCCTTCACCTTCACCTAACACCCATCACTTCACCTATTAATTCACCTCAAGTATCCGAACCACCTTAAGTTACCCGATTACCTGAGGATGCTTACTGAGTGGGCGGGTGAGAGTAGGGGTGGGTTAGCGAAGAGAGAGGGTGGGTGGGTGGGTGGAGACTGAGATTCCATTATAAATATTTGTCAATATTATCTAAGAGGAATATTTCACCAGTGTTAAGTAAGGGAATATTTCAGTAAGTCTTCCAATATTATCTAGGTTGGAATACACCGCCCCTCCCCCCCTCAACCCCCACTCCACTTCTAACCCCCCTCCACGACTAACCCCCCACCACCCCACCCTCCCCACAATCCCTTCCACTTTTAACCTCACCACGACTAACCTCCCCTCCAGTAACATAGTCTACTATCCTTGGTGATATTTCTTTATAACCTGCGTCAATCAGCTCTATGAATACTAATTCTCACGACTGACTGACTCTATCACTCACTGACTTACTCACCGAGATAAAGTATTGGTGGGCGGTAGAGGTAGATTTCCAGGTGTTGAGTGTGCCGCGCTGCCTGACGCATGATTAACGTTACTTGTAAGCCATCATCATAGAAAAGTAGGCTCAGCTATATAATATTTCTGAATTTGACTACATCACCACTATTGCTATAAACAAATAAATAAATAAATAAATAAATAAATAAATAAACAATAGAATATGTTAACCAGTACGATATCTTCATGTGGTTCTTGAGCTTCATGGCTGTATGTAAGAGTTAGACCAGAGAAGATCTTCAGTAATAAGAACACCTGCCCACACTGACGCACCTTACCTGTTGTTTCCAAGAGACTGGATGGAGGAAATTAAGATAACAGAAAATAAATAAACAAAATGGTAATGACACTTGTGGTTTGTTTAGCGTGTGATGACATTAGTTGTGGAGCAGCTAATGTGCGCCATCACAGGTGAAGCTAAACAGGCGTTCTAGATGTTAATACCTGGAGATGTTTGACCCTCAACAGCCTCTGGCATTTGACCTTGATGACTACAGTATCGCGCAATCACCAAACATCTCAAATACCTCCCTGGTACAAGACGATAACTAACACCTGATTGGCTGAACACAATGAAGTGACACAAACAAATTATATCACGATAAGATAAATTACCCAAACAATTCCATCACGTTTATAGTCTAGGTGTCATGGCTGCTGGTAGGGGGAGTCGAAAAAAATTATTCCTGCCGACTGGTTGCCCCTGAGAAGAAGCCTCGAGGGGTTGGCCAGGACAGATAAGCCTCCAGGCAGACTGATGTAAACACGGACTATTCCCCTCACACCCCTCACGGGACCTTTCCTTTATGCCTCCCCCCTTCCAGCCAGCACCCTGCCCGCGTTACCTCACCTCTCCACTCTGTTATCTTCCTCTATCCTCTGCCCCTTCTATCTCCCATCCCCCCCGTTCCTCATCCATCCATCCATCTCCTTCCCCATTCATCCACTTCTCTCTCTACCCCTTCATCCTCCACCCATCCCGTTCTCCATCCATCCATCCACCCGCCATCCAGCAACAAAACCACAAATAATTCAACAACGTATATCCTTGTGAGAGAGAGAGAGAGAGAGAGAGCGAGAGAGAGAGAGAGAGAGAGAGAGAGAGAGAGAGAGAGAGAGAGAGAGAGAGAGAGCTACCCCTCAACGCTCTATTTACATCTTCAGTTAGGTGTGATTTTTTTTTTATTGAGTTTATGAACTTGGTCCAAGAAATTGCCCCCTGTCTTCCCCACATCTCCTCCATCCTTCTCTCTGTCTCTCTCCTATTCTCCCTCTCTCCCATTGTCTCCCTCCACCCCTCCCCCTCCATTGTCTAAATCCATCCTCTCTCCCTCCCTCTCAGTCTCCTTCCACCACATTCTCTCTCTCCCTCCCTCCCTTTCTCTCTCTCCTCCCTCCCTCCCTTTCTCTCTCCCTCCCATAGTCTCTCCCTCCATTGTGCCGTGTTTGTGCAGTATCGATTCCAAGTGCTTGAATTCTCCCAAAACCCCCTCCTGTTCCTTCTCCTCCTCCCCCTCTTCCTCCTCTCCCTCTTCCTTCCTCCTCCTCCTCCCACAGTACTTCACTACCTTCCCTTCTCTCACAACTTGTCGACCTTTATATATTTATACTATATGGCACAGGACATTCTCTCTCTCTCTCTCTCTCTCACCAGTAATCAATTGCATCTTTTACTTACATTATTTACCTGAAGAAAACCCATTAATTATAACCCGTCTACTGGTGGTAACAATGGCGTCGAAATGGCTTTGAGACTCGACGGTAAATTGGAGGCATTGGGGGGAGGGGGAGGTGAGGTAGGGAGGGGGAAGAAGAGGGTGGGGGTGTTGAGGAAGAGAAGGGTGAGGGAGAACAGGAGGAGGAGGGTGAAGAGGAGGAGGAGGAGGAGGAGAAGAGACGGAAAACTGGACCAAGAGGGTGAAGGTGTGGAGGAGGGTGAGGGAGAATAGGAGAGTGAAGGAGACAGAGAGAAAGGAGGAGAAAGGAAGAGAGAATAAGAAGTGAGGGAGAAAGGAGTGAAAGAGAGGAAGAGGAGATAGGCGCTCGCCCTCTTGTTTACCTCAGAAACGCCCGATTACACGCAGCCTCACCCCCTGTTGAGAGAGAGAGACCCGTACTCCTCACCGTCCTTCGAGACACTGAACATAAACTTCTTATTAATTACAATATATAAACCGGAGTCCCGATGACGTCACACCAAGTACTTGACTGGCGAGGGGAGGAGGGGAGGAGGAGGAAGGAAGAAGGGAGCATTTAAATCACCATTAGCGTATACATGGGCGACAGAAGATGGGAAAAATAATAATAATAATAATAATAATAATAATAATATGTATAATAATAATAATAACACTAATAATAATAATAATAGTAATAATAATAATAATAATAATAATAATAATAATAATATATAATATGTATAAAGCAACTCACTATTGCCAAACCCGACACTAAGGCCTAATAAACATGAACAGCACACATTAAAAACCCTACATGTTTTATGAGTCTTTATTGACACTCAGACATCCAGGTAAGTGGTTCCCCGGGCAGGTGTTAGTCTCCAGGTAAACAAAAACAGGTGTTATATTAATTAAGAGATATTATGATTACTAAGATTATTGTTCTTATCTTGGGCCGAGTAGGTGGTGGTGGTGGGCCGAGTAGGTGGTGGTGGAGGGCCGAGTAGGTGGTGATGGCGAGGACCAGGGGGTGGTTGTGGGAGGCCGGGTGGAGGTAGGAGAGGCCGGGTGGAGGTAGGAGAGGCCAGGGGTTTGTTGTCTTCCGTAACAGGTCTCTCTCTCACACCACACACTCATTAATCATAGTTTACCAGCACGACCCATCAGCCAGCACAGTTTTAAACAACATTGTGCACATTAGGAGCCTGGGGTGAGGGGTGGGGTGATGAGGGTGGGGTGATGAGGGGTGGGGTGATGAGGGGTGGGGTGATGAAGGGTGGGGTGATGAGGGTGGGGTGATGAGGTGGGGTGATGAGGGGTGGGGTGATGAGGTGGGATGATGATGAGGTGGGGTGATGAGGGGGGTGATGGGTGGGATGATGGGTGGGTGGGTGAGGGTGGGGTGATGAGGGTGGGGTGATGAGGGGTGGGGTGATGGGGTGTGGGGTGATGAGGGGTGGGGTGATGAGGGTGGGGTGATGAGGGTGGGGTGAGGGGTGGGGTGATGAGGGGTGGGGTGATGAGGGGTGGGGTGATGAGGGGTGGATGATGAGGGGTGGGGTGATGAGGGGTGGGGTGATGAGGGGTGGGGTGATGAGGTGGGGTGATGAGGGGTGGGGTGATGGGGGTGGGGTGATGAGGGTGGGGTGATGAGGTGGGGTGATGAGTGGGGTGATGAGGGTGGGGTGATGCGAGTAGGTAAGGGAGGGTTGAGGCCAAGATGGGCGTGGTATAGCGTGAGGGTGGGCGTGGTGTAGCCTGACAGTGGGCGTGGCAGGCAGGTAATTAACCCAACGTAAACAGTGTTGAGACTAAACAACCACGATGCTGTTGATAAGTTCATCTTTCACCACGCCCGCGCGCCTTCACCCCTACGTCTCCTGCCGCGCCTTCCACCCCTACGTCTCCTGCCACGCCTTCCCACTACGTCTCCCTGCCGCGCCTTCCACCCCTACGTCTCCCTGCCGCCTTCCACCCCTACGTCTCCCTGCACGCCTTCCACCCCTACGTCTCCCTGCCACGCCTTCCACCCCTACGTCTCCCTGCCACGCCTTCCACCCCTACGTCTCCCTGCCACGCCTTCCACCCCTACGTCTCCCCCCGCGCCTTCCCCCCCTACGTCTCCCTGCCACGCCTTCCACCCTACGTCTCCCGCCGCGCCTTCCACCCCTACGTCTCCTGCCACGCCTTCCACCCTACGTCTCCCTGCCACGCCTTCCACCCCTACGTCTCCCCGCCGCGCCTTCCACCCCTACGTCTCCCTGCCGCGCCTTCCACCCCTACGTCTCCTGCCACTTCCACCCCTACGTCTCCTGCCACGCCTTCCACCCCTACGTCTCCCTCCGCCTTCCACCCCTACGTCTCCCTGCCACGCCTTCCACCCCTACGTCTCCTGCCACGCCTTCCACTACGTCTCCTGCCGCTACCCCCTACGTCCTGCCACGCCTTCCCACCCTACGTCTCCCTGCCGCCTTCCCACCCCTACGTCTCCCCCGCCCTTCCACCCTACGTCTCCCTGCCGCCTTCCACCCCTACGTCTCCCCGCCACGCCTTCCCACCCCTACGTCTCCCTGCCACGCCTTCCACCCTACGTCTCCCTGCCACGCCTTCCACCCCTACGTCTCCTGCCACGCCTTCCACCCCTACGTCTCCCGCCCGCCTTCACCCCTACGTCTCCTGCCACGCCTTCCACCCCTACGTCTCCCTGCCGCCCTCCACCCTACGTCTCCCTGCCACCTTCCACCCTACGTCTCCCTGCCGCCTTCCACCCTACGTCTCCCTGCCGCCTTCACTACGTCCCTGCCACGCCTTCCCCCTACGTCTCCCTGCCACGCCTTCTACCTCTACGTCTCCCTGCCACGCCTTCCCACCCCTACGTCTCCCTGCCGCCTTCCCACCCTACGTCTCCTGCCGCCTTCCACCCCTACGTCTCCCTGCCGCGCCTTCACCCCTACGTCTCCCTGCCACGCCTTCCACCCCTACGTCTCCCTGCCACGCCTTCCACCCCTACTTCTCCTGCCGCCTTCCACCCCTAAATCTCCTGCCACGCCTTCCACCCCTAAATCTCCCTGCCACGCCTTCCACCCCTAAATCTCCCTGCCGCGTCTACCCCTAAATCTCCCTGCCGCCTTCCACCCCTACGTCTCCTGCCACGCCTTCCACCCCTAAATCTCCTGCCGCCTTCCCACCCTAAGTCTCCCTGCCACGCCTTCCACCCTAAAACTCCTGCCACGCCTTCCACCCTAAATCTCCTGCCGCGTCTTCCACCCTAAATCTCCCTGCCACGCCTTCCACCCCTAAAACTCCTGCCACGCCTTCCACCCCTAAATCTCCTGCCACGCCTTCCACCCCTAAATCTCCCTGCCACGCCCCTGCCACTACCTCAAGTCTCTCCTGATTTTAATTGACTGAAAAACACACCGAAGTTAAGATGCATTCCCTAATTAACTCACACCTGGTGGACACACACACACACACACACACACACACACACACACACACACACACACACACACACACACTATAAGAATACAAAAACACCTGATGAATAACCACCCCAGTTTATTTCACCTGATGATTTAACACCCTAACGCTACCTGGGTTAAGTTAGGTTAGGTTAGGATGGGTAAAGTTAGCATTAGGTTAGGTTAATGTTAAGTTAGGTTGGGTTAGCAATAAGTTAGATTAATGTTACCTTAGGCTGGCGTTTGGCTGGATAGGTTAGTTAGGGTTGGTTAAGTTGGTTAGATTAGGTTAAGTTAGTTTGGGTTAGGTTAAGTTAGGTTAGCGACAGAGTGGTTAGGTAAGTTAGGTTAGCGACAGAGTGGTTAGGTTAGGTTAGGTTAAGTTAGGTTAGCGACAGAGTGGTTAATCTTAAGGTGTAATAAGCAGCCAGGTAAGAAAATCCCAATCAGATGTAAACTTTTATTACCTTGTCGAGAGAGATGAAGTTCTTATCTGGCTTAAACAGGTAATTACCACAACCTCACTCTACCACTGTTAATATTCCGGATAAATAAACATGTCCAATTTAGATCTCATCAGGGGACCACTCTTCACATTCTCAAATAAGTCTTCCGTGATATAATTCTAACCTTACCTAACCTAACCTGAACTGACCTGACCTGGCCAAACCATACCTTACTTGAACTGAACTGACCTGAGGCCACAGCCTGACCAAACCTTACCTAGCGAACTGAACTGACGACCTGACCTGACCAAACCTTACACCTAACTTGAACTGAACTGAACTGACCCTGACCTGACCTGACCAAACCTTACCTAGCAGACTAGCTGACCTGACCTGACCTGACCAAACCTTACCTAACTTGAACTGAACTGAACTGACCTGACCTGACCTGACCAAACCTTACCAAACCTGAACTAAACTGACCTGACCTAACCTTACCTGACCTGACACCTAACCTTACTTTACCTAACCTAACTAACCTAGTCACTGTGATTGAGTCTCAGAATAATTTTAAAGCCATCATTTTTTCTTTTACCATGAATTAAGTGAGCCAGTTACATGTCTTCTCATATAACTTATTAATTACAGGTATATATTATTTTTACCTGTAATTAATGTCATAAACGTGGTGTATAACTTAATCAATGTGTATAGACAGATTTATATGTTATACGCCCGTTTCTTCTTTAATTTATATTGCGATTTTTATATAATTTTTATCCATTTATATTTACATGTATTAATTTATATTATACGTTTCAATTGACAGTTTACTTATGACACCACTTACGCCCTTCATACACTTATATGTAAATGAAAGATGGTAAGTTGTATGTATTATGAGAGAGAGGAGAGAGAGATTACTTATTCACATCACCTCCCACTGCGGTCGGAAGATCTCTCTCTCTCTCTCTCTCTCTCTCTCTATTTCCCTTCTCCCAAACCATCCCCACCCTTTTCCTTTCCTACCCTCCCTTTCCTACCTTCCTGCCCCCTCCCCCTTTGTCCCACCCCTCTCTTCTCTTTCTACCCTCCCTCCCCTTCTCCCCCTTCTCCCTCCCTGTCTTCCTCCCTCCCCCCAGCTGGTCATGCATCACCCGCTGAGAGAGAGAAAGAGGTAATATCCTACAACAGAACCAACCCGGACCTCTGGGGGTCAGTCCCTCCTGGGGGCTACAGGTACTGGGGTCAAGAGGTGCTGGGACCTACAAGTACTGGGGGCTACAGGTACTGGGGTCTACAGGTATTGGGGGCTACAGGTAATCGGTTCAAGTAGCACTGGGGTCAATATTACCTGGGGTCAAGTACACATAACATAAGAACATAAGAAAATATGGAGTCTGCAATAGGTCGGTTGGCCTGTGCATGGCAGCTCCTGTCGAGAGTTACTACCACTCTATTCATCCATGAATCTATCTAGCCTCCTTTTAAGACTTTCCAGCGTTCCAGCACTTACTACAAAGTTGCTAAGCTTGTTCCACTCGTCCACCACCCTATTTGTGAACCAGTTCCTTCCTATCTCCCTCCTAAACCTAAACTTATCAACTTAAATCCGTTGCTCCGAGTCCTATCCTGCTCGGATATTATAAGAACTTTATCTATATCGCCTTTATTGATTCCTTTCACCCCTTAAATACTTCTATCATATCTCCCGCACTCTTCGTCTTTCTAGGGAATCAAATTTTGTTTCTTTAATCTATCCTGATATGGAAGGTGGAATCATGTCATCTTTAACACTTAGGTTGATTGACCTACTCCTGTTTGCCTTATTTCGAACAATATATGTTGCAGGCCGTAGGTCCGGGCTTACAAGTACTCCTAAGTCTCTTTTTACAAGTCGACTTCTCTAGGTTGATGTTATTAAGGCTGTATACATTGCTAGTATTTGTTCTTCCAATAATGTACGCTGCACTTGCTGGTGTTGAATTTCATTTGCCATTTTTCTGAGGGTTACAGGTACTGGGGTCAACAAATACTAGGACCAAAATTAACTGGCGTCAACATTAACTTTCATCTCCCCGTTAATACATCACCCCTGGCCGGCCCTCTCTTTACAATACAGTCTCTGTGTATTAGTGGCGCCATCTTGACCTCAACACAGTGTCCCGTAGTTTGATTAATTCCCGACGGAGGAACAACCACTCGGTGACCTAACATCTTGCCCGGCCACACGACGACAATACTACTACTACTACGACTACTACTACTACGACTACTACTACTAAATAAACTCGTTTCAACAGATGCCATTCCTGCCTGCGAATCGTTACCATGGTAGGGTGTAAACAACCAACTACCAACACTGTAAAGGCATATTTACGTAGTCACCCCTGAAGACTGTCTCATATCATCGTTTTCTTTAAGGCCCAAAATACCCTGTGTGTTATGACCGCGCCAACCGTTACCATAGCAACACTTGGGGTCAATTTGGGGTCAATTTTCATTACTAGTTTATTATATGGAACCTTCTCACGTGCTCATTAAACCTACCAAGTTTATTATAAATCCGCAAAACTGCTATTGAGTTATTTAAGGGACACAGACAGACAGACAGACAAGCATACAAACACACAGACAAACAAGCAGAAAAAAACACAGACAAGCACAAACAAATAATCAGCCAAATACAAACACAGACAAACAAACAGAAAACACGAAACACACAGACAAACATTCAGCCAAATACAAACACAGACAAACAAACAGAAAACACAGACAAACAAACAGAAAACACAGACAAACACACAGACAAACATTCAGCCAAACACAGACAAACAAACAAACAGCCAAACACAGACAAACAAACAGAAAACACAGACAAACAAACAAACAGAAAACACAGACAAACACACAGACAAACATTCAGCCAAACACAGACAAAAACAAAGACAGGGTGATAAAAAAACTGAACTAATATGACGCCCTGGGCAGGTATCATACAGCCCTGGGTTTGGGTTTGATTACAAGGTTATCTTAAGCGGGGGATAAAGTCGGTAATCCATCAGAGTAGACGTGTAATATGAGCCTTACAGCCACTGGTCAGATAGATCATCTCTTCTCATTTCCATGCCTTCCCTTCTTCTTCCTTTCTCCTGTGTATCTTCCTTGTCCTTATTCTCTCTTCGTTGACGTGTCTCTCCTTCCTTCCTCTCCTTATATTTCTTCTCTTCCCTCCTTCCTTCACCCCCTCTTCCTTCCTTCACCTTCTCTCCTTCTTTCACCCCATTTATTTCTTCTCTTCCCTCCTTCTCTCCTTCCTTCACCTCCTTATATTTCTTCTCTTCCCTCCTTCTCTCCTTCCTTCCTCTTTATATTTCTTCTCTTCCTCCTTCCTTCACCCCTCCTCCTTCCTTCACCTCTTTATATTTCTTCTCTTCCTCCTTCTCTCCTTCCTTCACCTCCTTATATTTCTTCTCTTCCCTCCTTCTCTCCTTCCTTCACCTCCTTATATTTCTTCTCTTCCCTCCTTCCTTCACCCCCTCCTCCTTCCTTCACCTCCTCTCCTTCCTTCACCATCAGGACCGGAATTATTATCAAACTTCCAAAACATAAAATTCGTGAGAATTATTTCACACACACACACACACACACACACACACACACACACACACACACACACACACACACACACACACACACACACACACACACCATGACATCACACCTCATTAACAACAGGCCCACACCGGGAAAAGTTTGATATTAGTGGTAGGAGTTAAAGTTACTTTTAGCGGCGTATCATAAACACCACTCACTGAGGCATTGTCCTCCTGGAGTTAGTATTTGTGGTCTAAGTTGGCTGGTTCCTCTTGATACACTGTGCTGCTAATATACCCAGCAGAGGCACAGTGATGTATGGGGAGGGGAGGGAGGGGAGGGAGGGGGGCAGGGGAAGGGGGGGGAGGGGAGGGAAGGGAGGGGAAGGGGGAGGGAAGGGAGGGGGAGGGAAGGGGAGGGGAGGAAGGGGGGGAGGGGAGGAGGGGGAGGAAGGGGAGGGGAGGGGAGGGAAGGGGAGGAGGGGAGGGAGAGGTCGGTGTTGTGGCATCTTACAAACAAGGAAGGGAAAGGAAAAAGGTGACTCTCTTACTTACTTAAACAAGGACAGCACAAACAAAGGCGG